CAAATCATATGTGCTGGTGTCCGTCCTCTCGCTTCCTAGGAACTGAGCTGCTTAACCATCATATGTCGAATACGAGAGAGTCCGCCATATATATATATATATATATATATGAACAAGAAATCATATATAACACTTAGGTTTGCTGTGCACATCACACCATCGGAGACATTTTAACAAAATTCATGAAATCTCTCTTATTGTTGCTTTAAATCTGATTTTTATTAAAGCTCCTCTGTCAGATTGGAAATATCTCTTGCTTGATTTAAACAACATCCTATCCGTCATCACATGAACTTACTAACGCCTTTATCCACTGTGCCATGTGTCCTTGAGGACAGTGGATAAAAGCGTTAGTTAAATCCAGTGACAGGACCCAAAGATTGTGAGTTCAATACCTGGTTAAGGCGGTGGAGAACTTGGTGAGAGAAATTAACAGGAGATAACTGACATCCATTAGACCTGGCACGTGGAACTAGAACAGTCTACCCCAGTGAGCAAAATAAAGAGTTCAGTTCGACATTCCCAACCACCTGAAGTCGGAGCGTACAAAGGCCGAAACGTTGTAATAAATATGGCGACAAAGATGAGAACAATAGTCCGAATAATGTAAATAATGTACTGTGGTGGTAAAGCAACGACTCAACTGATAGTAGCAGATAGGAAACGCGAGGAGGGTAACCGATAAAATAGTGTCACACGTCCAACCTTCTCACGAGCAAAAAACACAGTCCTCAGAAACCAAAATGCGCCTGCTTTATACAGCCGAGGACCGACCATGATTTGCATGCGAATGACGAGACAACAAGATTTCACGTGAACTGTCCGAGACCGCCCGGCATAAAACATGGGCGCCGCCATTTTGCTTCTTTTCATTGTTGAGCAAACGGAGTTTGCACGACGCACAGATTCGCGGGTGTTTCCGATGTAGGCCATTTTCACAATTTTCCCCACATGTACATAACATCTGATCTCAGATATATAGAGAGATACTGAAAAGCCGAAACTTTGTAATAAATATGGCGACAAAGATGAGGACAATAGTTCGAATAATGTAAATAATGTACATAATACCTGATCTCAGATATATAGAGAGATACTGAAAGGCCGAAACGTTGTAATAAATATGGCGACAAAGATGAGGACAATACTCCGAATAATGTAAATAATGTACATAATACCTGATCTCAGAAATATAGACAGAAACGTTGTATCTGTTTCTATTTTCCTTAAAACATTCTTCGTCCTGGGTATGATGATAAACTAGACCCAGTAGCAACGGGAGATTGGAGGTTTTGAAGAAGGTGGAACCACCCCATAACTGCTGTTGTACCTTGGTCCACCATGACCCATGGTGGTAGCATCTGTTCGGGTTCCAGCTTTCGGCAAACAGTGGACCTCCAAATAAAAATCCACGGTACATAGTTTATAGTAAAATTGCTACCAATACATATTTATAGTAAAATGGCAATTAATATAACTCTAAAAAAAATGTATGAAAATACATTTTTATTGTAAAATTACCAGCAACAGATTTTTTATAAAAATCACCAGCAAGTTTAGAAATCCATCTGGAATATGCCGGCGACTATATTATCAGTAATGTTGGTCTGGGATCCTTTTCGGGTTTAGCCAACATCAGAATCCTTCACTCAGTTGACCCTTCTGGTGGAGATCAAATACCAACATGTGTCAGAGCAATGGGCTGTATGAAAATATCAATCGCAGAATGCAAATTGCTTTAAAAGATATTTTGGAATCCTAAAAGACCGAAAATCAGCTTCCCTCCAATTATGATTTGCGTTTATTTTGTTTGTTTTTTTGTTTGTTTTTGTGGGGGGTTCTTTGATATTTTTTGATTTTTTTTTTTTTTTTTTTTGGTGGGCGGGGTTGTAGTGAAATTATCAGCAATAAGTTTTTTAAAGTTACCAACTATACATTTTACCATTTACAAACTATATACAAAAAAATAAACATACGTTTATCCTGAAAGCACGAATTATGTACAAAACATCTATAGTTGAAGGTATAGAATGGTGTTTAAACTTCATTACTCACATTCTCTGTTCATGGCATTCTCAGCTTCTGTCCGTAGAACCTCATTCCTGTTGCCACCAGTCCTTTTCTCATCTGTAACGAGTTTGTCCAGTATTCATTGCCATTGGAGGAGGACACTTTTCAGCACTAACCTCTTTGATTCTAACGAATTTTTCTTGTTCCTTAATATTTTGCTTATCTTTTAGAAGGCATTTTCTTGCGTAAGCAAGCTAAAAGGCAGAGTGTGACTAACGTCAGCGCCATTCCCAACCCCTTACGAAGCCCCACTTCTACAATGACATCGTGTGTGTTTGTGAGGGTTGTGAATGACAATAGAGAGAAGTTTCTCCTAAGATCAGGACTAACCCCTAACTACTACCCGACTGCATTGACATCATATGTGCGGCTGATTTTTTTTTCTCACGGTGAATATTCACTTCATATGGTTTATCAAGTTCGTCTAGCGAGTTAAGAAGATGATCAGATTTGTCGCTGAAAGTCTACGTCTGCGTCACTTCACGGCATAAGAGAACATGGCTCTCCACAACTTCCTAAACGTTTTTATTTGCGCGTACTTGCAGAATAAGATAGATAGATAGATAGATAGATAGATAGATAGAATAAGACAGATAAATAGAATAAGATAGATGAACAGAATAAGATAAATAGATAGATAATAAACAGATTAAGATAGATAGATAGATAGATAGATGAACAGAATAAGATAGATAGATAGATAGATAGATAGATAGATAGATAGATAGATAGATAGATGAACAGAATAAGATAAGATAGATAGATAGATAGATAGATAGATAGATAGATAGATAGATAGATAGATAGATAATGAATATACTGTAATAGATATATAAACAGATAAGGAACATAGATAGATAGATAGATAGATAGATAGATAGATAGATAGATAGATAGATAATGAATATACTGTAATAGATATATAAACAGATAAGGAACATAGATAGATAGATAGATAGATAGATAGATAGATAGATAGATTATGTGGACATAAAAATCAACACTTCCTGGTGACTGTCAGTTTCACATCGTAAGCGATCTTTCGACCATTTGAAGACCCTTGCCATGAAGATCGCTTAGGCTTGAAAACTGACATTCACTATGCAGTATTTATTGAGAATATACATGTAATTTGCCTTAGCCATGGAATGACAACAACAGTAAATGCTAATGTACAACTCAAAACAGGTCTTAATACAATATTGTTTTGCACCATACGGTAAATAAAACATTTATCTGTCGTGTTAGCCACGATCAACCCGACTTTAAACACAATGGCTGAACACGATTCGTCTCTTATTTTTTTACCTTCCAAAGTGAAATTCGATCGAGTTGGCTTAAGATTTATGTTCAAATCATGAGTAATAAATTTTACTGTTTTTATCTTCTTGCCATAAAATCTCTAATTTTATAAGCAGATTGCAGTCGTGATGTCTCGTCCAACGAAAGAATTAAAAAAAAAAAAAGTTTGATTTCAAGCTATGAAAAATAATCGTTAAATCATATAGAAAAAATTAATTAATTCGTGCTTAAATTGATTTGAGCGCTCCTGTTTTCCTGTTCTTGTATATGTAGTGGTTTGCATGCGGAACGTGTTTGTGTGCGAGTGTATGCGTATTTCACTCTCTCTCTCTCTCTCTCTCTCTATATATATATATATATATATATATATATATATATATATATATATATATATATAAGTATAGGATTGGTGTATACTATAATAAGTTCCAATAACCAAAAAATACTACTATTCTTAAAAGAGTGTTCAATACAGAGTAGAGCAAATATAATTATTTATTCGAAAATTATAACATAAATATATTATAAAATGACTACAAAAATAGCCATTTTGTTTTAATACTTCTGGCGTCTTATCACGTGACGGTGTTCCATATATATATATATATATATTTGTAAAAATACATAGTACCCCACGGCGCCAGTATTTATATTATTATATGTTATGTTATTTAGCACTGAGCAGTTTTTCTTACACCAAAGCATATATGTATGTATTTGTATGCGAACACTTACACGTACATTTATTTATATTTATTTATTTGACTAAATATATATATATATATATATATATATATATATATATATATATATATATATATATTATATTATATTTTTGTTTAAAAATATGATTCCTTCCCTACATAAGAGTTTTCATAAAAATAAAAACAAAAATACTTTTTAAAAAAATTTTATATTTATAAATATTTTTCAAGTATTTTTTAAGTAAAAAATTTTTTTTCCATAGTACTTAGTTTACTTTCACTAGGAAAATGCTTGACTATTAATATTTCATAAAATAAAAATAAAAATAATTTTATAAAATAGGATCAGCTAATATACATACTTATATGTAACATGAAATAAATAAATTTAAAAAAAATAGTAATATTAATATACTTGATGTAGAAAAATAATTTCACTTACTTTAAGTAACTCTAATACATTTTACTTCTATTAAATGAAATATAGTCTATAAAAACAAATAATGAAATTTTTTTAAAGTTGTAATTAAAATTGTAGTTAATTCAAATGAATTCTAAACTAAACTTCTTTTAAATTGTAATTAAATAAATAAAGTTTACTATATCAGAGAAATGAATTAGCTACTTTTGCCGTTATGAAAAAAAAATTTACTTAAAAATATTTAAATATAAATTTTTTTAAAAATCGAAATATAAATATACTTGATGTAGAAAAAAAATTTTACTGACTGTTAGTAACTCTGACACATTTTACTTCTATTAAATGAAATATAGTCTATAAAAACTAATAATGAAAATATTTTAAAGTTGTAATTAAAATTGTCGTTAATTAAAATGAATTCTAACCTAAACTTCTTTTAAATTGTAATTAAATAAATAAAGTTTACTATATCAGAGAAATGAATTAGCTATTTTTGCCGTAATAAAAAAAAAAAGATTTTACTTAAAAATATTTAAATATAAAATTTTTTAAAAATCGAAATATAAATATACTTGATATAGAAAAATAATTTTACTGACTGTTAGTAACTCTGACACATTTTACTTCTATTAAATGAAATATAGTCTATAAAAACTAATAATGAAAATATTCTAAATTTGTAATTAAAATTGTAGTTAATTAAAATGAATTCTAACCTAAACTTCTTTTAAATTGTAATTAAATAAATAAATAAAGTTTACTAAATTAGAGAAATGAATTAGCTATTTTTGCCGTAAATGAATAAAAAAAATTTTATTTAAAAAATATTTAAATATAAAATTTTAAAAATCGAAATATAAATATACTTGATATTGAAAAATAATTTTACAGACGGTAAGTAACTCTGACACATTTTACTTCTATTCAATGAAATATAGTCTAAAAAACTAATAATGAAAATATTTTAAAGTTGTAATTAAAATTGTAGTTAATTAAAATGAATTCTAACCTAAACTTCTTTTAAATTTTAATTAAATAAATAAATAAAGTCTACTAAATTAGAGAAATGAAGTAGTTATTTTTGCCGTAAAGTTAAAAAAAATCTTACTTAAAAAACATTTAAATATAGAATTTTTAAAAATCCTAATATAAATATATTGATATAGAAAAATAATTTTACTGACGGTAAATAACTCGGATACATTTTACTTCTATTAAATGAAATATGGTCTAAAAAAAACTAATAATGAAAGTATTTTAAAGTTGTAATTAAAATTGTAGTTAATTAAAATGAATTCTAACCTAAACTTCTTTTAAATTGTAATTAAATAAATAAAGTTTACTAAAATAGAGAAATGAAGTAGCTATTTTTGCCGTAAAGATAAAAAAAAAATTTTTACTTAAAAAATATTTAAATATAAATTTTTTTTTTAATCGTAATATAAATATACTTGATATAGAAAAATAATTTTACTGACGGTAAATAACATTTTACTTCTATTAAATGAAATATAGTCTATAAAAACTAATAATGAAAATATTTTAAAGTTGTAATTAAAACTGTAGTTAATTAAAATGAATTCTAACCCAAACTTCTTTTAATTTGTAATTAAATAAATAAATAAAGTCTACTAAATCGGAGAAATGAAAATTTTACTTTAGTAATATTTAAATATAAATTTTTTTAAAAATCGTAATGTACTTTAAATATACGGAAAAAAATGCCGTAAGAATTTTAGCCGTTAACAATATAATTTTAAAAAATCTAGACGACAGGCTTTAACGGAAGCGAGATTTCATTGAAAAATGCATCCCTTCCCACGACCCAAACCTAGCAATAACTGATACATTAAATTACAGACATATTGAAAACCCAGCCACCCCTGTCTAGAAAAATAAATTTATCTGTAACCTTGGAAACATGAATTTTGTTTTAGTTGTGTATTTAAAACCCAGTAATTTTAAAAAGTTACTCCAAAATTCGCTTGAGGATGAAATGAAACTAATGTCTTTAATTTAATCACAAAATTAAATTCGTGGCTTTTACCTTCCATTTTTGAAACATGGATAGAACTGTGTAGCGAAAAAAAACATATTTTAAATCAATTAATTTATAATATATATAAGTACCGCATATAATATATAAATAATTATACATATATATATTTATTTATATTTATATACACTTTTCACATATATATATATATATATATATATATATATATATATATATATATATATATATATATATATATATATATATATATAAGATGATATATGACTACGTCTGAATATATATAAATATATATATATATATATGTTAATAAAAATATTTTTTTCCCTCACCATTATCACGACTCGGAGTTTCATGAACAACGCGGTCTTCAATGTGGGATATAAAGAGTACGATGGCTGAATTGTCGCCATTTTATATTTTTAATTTTACGCATGCGCGCTATTTGATTTTGATTTTATCGACTGTACAATATCGTAGTGTAAGTTGGTCACCGTCTGTGAGAAAAAGACACCATGACTCAATTCACTCCGTCAGAAATTTGTAAACAGCATGTTGTATTCCTTGGTATTCGCGGAGGAATCTCCAATACAAATATTTCAGAGTTTTTGGATGCAGAGGATTCGGTAAAAGTTGGATGAGTCTAATGATGATTACGAAGGTACGGTATACTCACTCTGGTCATTCTCATGACAACACAACTCCTGAATTTGTTGGTGAAGGCTTAAGACCCAAGGGAATTTCTCCTTTCAATCCCATACATATCGTAATAGCACTGCGTTGAGTACTATATATATATATATATATATATATATATAATACTCACCGCATTCCCTCTGTTTGCCACAGCATTTCTTTATACAAGGATGAGGATAATATTTGACATTCCCTCGTATATAAACAAACACACAAACATGCGCATTCTCTCTCTCTCTCTCTCTCTCTCTCTCTCTCTCTCTCTCTCTCTCTCTCTTTCTTTGTGTCTATCTGTCTCTCTCTTTCACTCACACACACACATGCCTGGATATGTATATGTGAGCGCCTTTGTTTACTTGTTTGTATTATTTAAAAAGCGAGTTAAATATATATATACCAATATATTTAAGGGAATAGAGGCTAGATTCTGATCGGAAGTCATATTTTTCTTCAGCAGGACTTCTTGATCTAGGGCAGTTCAAATTAATTTCCCTGTTTAAGAAAAAGAAACAGAGATGTCAATTGAAACAGTTGCCTCCAATAATACAACCTTCATATTATCATTATATATATATATATATATATATATATATATATATATATATATATATATATATATATATATATATATATAATTGATAATTGCTAAGGATAATTCAAGGAGGACATTAATCCAAAGGGAGCTCAATTTCAGTAGCAGAGAAATATAATAATAATAATAATAAGTACAGACGATCCTTAAAATCCATTCGGTTATAATTTATTTCATGAATATATTCAAATAGTCACCACAGCCGATCTTTTATTCGAAACGTGAGAAGCATGCGTTTAATTAATGCTTTTAGGTGATACTGTCAGAGTTAGCTCCTCCTTAATTCCCAAATTGTCACTAGGGGTCACACTCCCTATACTATAAATACTAGGAGACTTCTCGCCTCGTTCTCTTTTTTCATTTCAGCTACAATGTAAGCTCTCTTAGAAGATCCGCGTCTTCCCATTTGTGGAAGACGCCATGAACATTATACACACATACAGGTACGTACGAACATTCACCAAAATACGAACATTCACCAAAGAACAAACTCAAATGTTCACACACGCACAAATGTTACTGTCTATGTCCATTGTAAAATTGTTTTGTTTAATACATATATTTCCCTACAGTTAAATGATAAAAAAAAACATGGCTATTTGTTATAGGGATGCATCAAAATTTTATTGGCTTAGATTCAAAAGATGGAAGCGTTGAGTAGAAAAAGAATATTTATAATGTATTGTTCGAATCTTAAATTATGTCACTGTTTTAGATGAAAGTATTTTCATTGCTAATTTTGATTCGTTTTTCTTTTATTCTTCTTCATCGTCACTTTCTGTTAAAATACACTTTTTCTCAATACATATCAACCTAGAAAGCAACATGCAATTTTGGTTTCCACAATTTAGAAAAAAAATGAATAAACATAAAATAAGAAAATAATCTTCAGTCTATAAGAAGCAGGGTGAATTTTCGAGAATTATTTTGAGATAGATAAAAAGAAAGAAAGAAAGAACAAAAAGAAAGTTAGAAAGAAATAATAGCGCGTGCGATATATATATATATATATATATATATATATATATATATATATATATATATATATATATATATATCGGTCATGTTTGTCTTCTTTATCTTCAGTTGGACTTAATTCAAGTCCGGCCATGTTCTTGTAGCCCGACTTTCTTCTAGCAGAAAATAAACGCAAGTGTTTCTAACCCAACAACACGCAAACCCATGCAGTCCTTTGCAATACAACCGATCGTCAAACGCTTAAAATGAAATCAGTTCTATTTTTTGCCTGTATTTGTACTTGTGAGCGACGATTACCCGTATTCCTCCTCGAAAGAGGTGTAGACGGAAGCAGTCGCCACCCACGAGATACAGGCACGTGATTGAATAGTCATTAAATTAAAGAATATAACATAAAATTCCAACATGTAAATGTTATTATATGCGTCTCGTGGGCATTTTCTTTTCTATCTCCGAAAAGTCCGTGTTGTTGATTGGGGAAAGTTTCAAATGAGAGTGTAAAAGTTTAGGTTTTTTTACGGGGTGTTCTACTTTAAGCTCCTTTTTGGATCAGTTTGCGTGGTGCCATTCCGTTATTTCTTTTGATTTCTTGGTCCTAGTGGTAAACCCAGACCTCATCCGTGAATAAGCTAGAGAAGGTGTTTTGTGTATCCCCAAAAGCTCGTGGTCAGCAACAGGTTTCTGCTACTTCTGCTAAATCAGACAGATTACTCTGAATCCACTTTGCAAAGACCTACGATTAGACAAAACACTGTACTAAATGCAAACACTACCAGAACTCATCTAAAGGCTTCCACAGTATTTTGTAATAAAGATTCTTCTTTCAGCTCTAATGAGAATATCAGCCTTTTTGTCTATATCCTCATTCACAACAGAAGCTTAAAATCTGTTTCACCTTTCTCTCTAATTTATTTCGTTACTGTGCTTGCTGTAAGCGCAGCCTTTTCAGATGAAATCACTGTGGATATTTGCAGCATTTTTCTTTTCAGAAACAGAAATTCTATGACAGCTTTTTTGCGTTTTGAAGTTTAGACTGTTCTTGCGAAATTACTATTGAAACAATGTGGGAGACGAAGATGATAAACCTCTCCTTAATTGTTCTCGTCTAAATTCGTTTTCAAGAAAATGAAATTGTAGTGTATTCTAATATAGATTGATCATGGGATGCATTAAAATTGACGCTTTAGGGTCGTGTTCGATATCCGGAAATCCCAAAAAGCAGCTCTGTATGTTTGTATTTCTGTAAAGAGCGATTAAGACTGACATTGTCCGTCGACTCTAAACACTGACGCAAGCAGACATCAACATACGGTCTTGTGTGAATAAACATAAACATATTACTGAATTAAATTCATCTTCATCCCTACCATGCGTCAACGGCTTCGTGGTAGAATCCCCGACTGACGCCAATTCAGTCGGGTTTCGATCCTAGATAGAGGCAACCGAACGTCTAGTCACACTGATGAGCTGTGATGTGCATGACAATATATATATATATATGTGTGTGTGTGTGTGTGTGAGTTGACCGTAGTCCCGATCATCAAGTCAATGCGAACGATCCTTCCCTTAGCTGCATATTATGTGCATACAGTTTCGAATTCAGATTTTACTTTCTCCTAGACCGGTTGCCACCCAAGGCTAGAGAACCCAATCTGTCGTACTATTTATCCGTATCTGGAGGGAGAAGAGCTGAATTCATAGCATTTTCCAAGGGTAAATTGAATGTAATGAACTCGACTAGAATTCGAACTCGGCTCGCCTAAGAAACGAAACTGCTAGTGTCGAATAAAAGAACCTTTTCTGCCTTCCATCAGCATGGTTAATGCTAACCTCTGGTAGAATGACTCATTGCTCTTTCTCGATCTAACATTTCCCACTGATTTATAACCAGAAAATTTCTATAATGAGAAAAGAGGGCTTGGAAAATTTGATACTCACAGGACAGATTGAAGACCAGAGGACAATAACGTATAACCTACATAGCGTAAACGGATGGCGAAGCAAGTTTTAGGAGAGATAACAAAAAGACAAAATTTATTAAGAGCTACAAAGGACAGTAACTTGTGAAGAAGAAGATGACAATGTGAATTGATTGTATGGAATCAATTGATAGAATTGCTGCTAAAGTAAAATGGTTCTCTGTGTAGTGTTAGACAATTTTTCCCGCTATAATCTGCCTTGCACATTTATAAATCTGCCATTCATCCGTACATCGAATATGGCTGCCGAATTTGATTCTTGACAAAATACAAAGAACAATTTGCAATGTGATCGGTCTTGACCTGGCATCTATGCTTCGCTCACTTTCCCACCTACGTAACGAAGCTTCCCAATGTTTATTTTCTATAAATACTTATATGGCAATTGTTTTCATGGTATCTCAACTTTACGAATTTAAGCGCACTACAAGATTGGCAGTGCCTTTTGCATCCAAACAAGCTGAGGCCATCACCTTCCCTGCAGATGAAACGACCTTGGCCTTCATTGAAGCAGGTAAGGAACGGTATTTCAACTTTACGGGTTGTGTCTATGTCTCTGGCTCAAAGTGGTGAATACAACACACATACTGACTTTAGAAACGTCCAAGGAAATCAGCTGGGATCTTCCTCCGACAATGTCAGATTTTCCTGTGATGTAATCAGCCTGGTGTGCTTTTGATCAGCTGTCAGAAGACGTGGCACACACCGAGAAGAAACCTTCGTCATGTCAAGTTCATTATACAGAATATTCTCAACTCTTTCACTGGATATCCTAATAGCATTGACTATTTGATTTCTACTCTATCGCTTGTCATCTATCACCAAGTGGTGAACACAAACAATGTTTACCACAGTGGTGGCTGTTGCAGGACGTCCAGACTTTGGGTCATCTTCACGTCTCTCTCATCTAATGTAGTAACCATGTAAGCATGAATATCCTTGGAGGATAAACCTTTTTTTTCTGCAGTTACTTGATAACACAAAGATGCCGCATTCTGTCCATTTTCAATAGAAGTCGCTACTAGTTACATTTGAAGTTTTCTTTGAAAAATCCGATGTCAGTTTACTGGGGGAAAAAACAATGCAGTTATTAAAAACAAGAGTTGAAATTAAGGGATGCAATGTTTCACAGCTGTAGCATCACCCTTCATAGTCAGCCTATGAACTTCTCAGCCCATAATGATTGCAGTAGCCACATGTATTATTTACATTTGGGGGCCAATATGTTGTCGTTGAAAAGATAAAATGATTATGGAATTTGTGCTAAATAACAATATAATGTCGTTGAAAAGATAAAATGATTATGGAATTTATGCTAAATAATTGTTGTGGTACGATACACTTAATTTACATAAGTGGAGTACCGACCATATAAATATGGGTTGGTAGCGGAAGACGGGGGAAAGATAGTAAGAAGAGATCGAATCCAGAGACTCTGCCCGACTGCGATTTAGTCAACCCATTATGCAGGAACAGTCTTCCCAAGAGTATACCAAAACTAACTGTAAATATTGTGTACCTTTTCCTTGTTTCAATACATTTTGTTAACGTACATTTTGTGTTGTATTATTATTATTCCATGCTTATCCAAGTTTCAACAATAATAATATGATGTCATTGAAAAGATAAAATCATTATGGAATTTATGCTAAATAACAATATAATGTCGTTGAAAAGATAAAATGATTATGGAATTTATGCTAAATAATAATATGATGTCGTTGAAAAGATAAAATGATTATGG